AAAAAAAGAAATAAATAAAAATTCACCTCCCTCAGCACCCCCAAAATCGTCTGATTGCTCCCCAAATCCTCGTCATCGCCCAGGCTAGCCGCGCTGCTCGACCTTTCTGGCGCCTTCCCGGAGCATCTAGATGCCCAGCTCCCCGTTTCTCCTCATCTAAATCTCTTTGTCATGTAAGTTTATCGAAACCCTCAACCTCAATCTCATGAAGTTCTGTTGTCTGGTGAGTGGTGATGGTTTGATGGGGGTTCGCAGTCGGGTGCACGTACAAATTCTTGATGATAACTTTGAGGCGGTTGCTAGTGGAGTTGGACCCTCGCTGGTAATAGTCGAGCTATGCCTGCAAGGTGTTCGACGATGTGTGATGGACCGTCGGCCCAATGGAGAAGAATGTGGGTTAAACGTGGTGAAATATAGATGGTTCTCGAGGTGTGGGGGTTGGCGGCGACGGTTCTAAGGTGGATCACGGCAGAGGAGGCGACAATGGGGTTGTTCTGATCGACGACGAGCGATCTGGAGTTGAATTTTCCAAGGTTCTTCATGGTCACCAGTGGATTTTATAATTATGGAGTTAAAATAATTTAAGAGAAAATATAGTGGAAAAAAAATAAAGTGTCCACATCAGTTAATCTGTCGAAAATAAGTCAATATTAGCCTAGTCAACGCCGAAATTTGCCCAACTCAGTAACTTCTAATCGTATTCCGGCGATCGGGGTTTATAAAAGATTAAATTGGATAAAATTAAAGAGTTCTTGAATCACTTTTGGATCCGACTAAAGTACTGGATAAAAATGAAAAACGACATTTAGAATCTAAAACTGGATTTTTCTCTGCTTAAAAATAATAATATTTGTGCAATAAAATATACAATAATTCACATTTTACTGTAAAATTATGAATAATAATAATAATAATAATAATAATAATAATAATAATAATAATATAGCAATCTCATTTTACTCTAAGTTTGTCAAAATAAATATTATTTACGACTCTATAAATTTGATTCTATTGTGATTATTTTTATATTTATAGAGTGACTCTCGTTTCTTAATTTTATTAAGTATTTTAAATTCATATATTTGATAATTTAAAAATAAATTAATAACATATAATTTAAATATTTTTAACTTTACAAAATATAGATTTTTTTTTATGCTATTCCTTTATATTTATATTTAGAACAGATAATAACATTTACTTTTTATATACCTTTATTTAAGTAGGAAAGTAATAAGTTCAGGATAATTTTCTATATTTATTTTATGTAATACATAATTTTCACATTTTCTTCAAAATCTATAGAAACAATACATCAAAATGATTGTGTTATGGTATATTAATGAATTACAGTTTTATTATTTAATAAAGTAATTTATAATATTACTTATACTTCTCAATTTGGTATGATAATTAAATTAAGTTCTATTTATAAATAGATGGAATTATTTTTTATATTAATTATGTAATATGATGTCAAATCGAAGATCGTTAAAAGAAGACTATTTTTTAAATTGTATATAAAAAATAAAAAACAACTAGTAAGGTTTAAACTTTTGAAAATAAGAAGAATACATATTTGTTGTTGTTAATATATGAATTAAATAAGAAAGAGAAAAATATTATATGTTAATTTAAGAAAATAAAAGGCATAATAGTTCATGGATAATTACTAGTGCATGTACTCGTTGTTTTGTAGTTTTTAGCAGAGTAGGAGATAAATCCTGACATCGGGTCGTGCCTTTTGATAAAGGTTGTTTGAAATGGAATTCAAGCAACAGTTGATTCACAAAAATAAAAAATAAAGGTTCCTAAACATTCTACTCGCAAGTTGGTACTTGTTTAAACTAATTAACATAATTGAAAGCAAGATTCAAACTTTAAACACATAATCTTCAATTTGCAATTAAAAGAGAAATAAAAAGAAAAAAAGAACTAAGAACCCTAAGACCCTATGTGGAAAGAAGACAACCAAAGATTCAAAAACATGTAATCAAGCAATCGTCACTCACATTGGACCAATTGAACTCTCAAATAATTCTCGCTCACATTATCAACAACAAAATCACATAATCCCTAGCCTCTGAAGATGAAGCCGATTCAACTCATAAAAGTTGTTACCCTAGAAAATTCATCAAGTAAAGACAAGAAAAACTTACAAGATCTTGAACCTTAAACTATGCCTCAAAGTCTCCAGTAGCACCAATGAGAAGTAATAAGCCGAAAAGGTGCAATCTTGACGAAGAATTAGAACAATAAAACTCAAGTTTTAAAGTCCTTAGTTTCTCAAGAGGGAGAATACATAAAGAGAGAAAAAAACTAAAAAAAGAAATTTTGCAATGATGAAAAGATTACCAAAATATATAGGACTAAAAGTATTTATACTCCTAGCTAAAACACAGAATGAAAATCACACATTTAATGGAGACACTCGCCAAGTAGCTAAATGCCCACTACTGGCAGACAACGAAAAGAAACTTTAGTGGCACTCCATGACTGACTGGCGCGCTGCCCACTCGTCGGCGAGTGTGCGCGAGATGCAAGCTACTAGGGGGTAGTTGGGCGACTTGCCCACTGGTCGACGAGTGTGGGCTTGGACGTCGGCTGGTGGGGCCGCTAGGCGAGTTGCCCGCTGTTTTGCGAGTGTGAGGTGCGCTAGCTTCTCTCGGAAACAGGGTACGCAGCGAGCCTCGGCAACGTCGCACGGGCTGCTGGAAGACGCGCGCAAATGTTGTGTGCGAGCCTCGGCGACATAGCGCGGGCGCGCTGGCGACGCGCGTAGGTGTTGCAGGCGACTGTTACGAATCGTGTATCGAGTATCGAATTTTTTATCACAATTGGATTAAAGAACTCGACTTTGACGTGAATTGATGCTTGGAAACAAGCTTTGGTAGTGATAGTTCATAAAAGACTTGTTAAAAAACGGACGTTGTTCAATTCTCCCTAATAAACACCTTACAACCTCTAAAAATGCAGAAAAAACTGTAAAAATAACTGCTCCAGCTGGCACCTTAGCGCCGCTAATGGTCCTTAGCGCCGCTAATGGTCAATAGTGACCGCTAATCAATACAACGTAAACCCTCTGTCCGAAGATAGTGCCCGCTACCCGCCTTAGCGCCGCTAAGGGTCCTTAGCGGCGCTAACCCCTGAAAAGCTGCTATTTTTCTGTAGCTTCATTCGAGCTCGACGAGCCCGGTTGTACGCATTCTTCAGCTGGCGGCCCTCATCCGCATCATTCCCGTCCCCTTCAAGAGAGTTCTTGTCCTCAAGGACAAAATCCGGAAACTGAATCCGCATATCTTGTAAATTTTCCCAAGTTAATTCTTCTTCCGGAAGTTGGTCCCATTCGATTAAGACTTCCCAACGGAAGCGACCAGCTCTTTTTGTCCTCCGATAATCCTTAGCTCGTATTAGACGTATGATCATTGTGCCTTCGGAATTCACTACCGGCAACCTCGGTTGAGCTCCTTGATTTTCTCCCAAACTTCTCTTTAGTTGAGACACATGAACCACCGGATGGATTTGAGCTTCGGCCGGAAGATCAAGTCGATAGGCAACTTCACCCACGCGTTCCAGAATTTTGTATGGGCCATAGAAACGACTTCCCAACTTGAATAAAGCCTTTTGAGATATTGTGTGTTGGCGGTAAGGTCTAAGCTTCAAGTAAACCCAATCACCCGATTCGAACCGTTCCTCTCTTCTTCCTCTATCATAGTACTCCTTCATTCGATTGATCGACCCGTACAAGTTTCCTTTGAGCTCCTGAATCATAAGATCTCGTTCCATGAGCTCACGATCCACCTCATCATTCAGTGATTTTCCCATCGGATAACTCACCAGTAGGGGTGCCTTCCGTCCATAAACCAACTTGAAAGGAGTGAATTTGGTCGATGCATGGTACGTTGTATTATACCAAAATTCAGCCCACGGTAAAAATCCTTCCCATTTTCTTGGAAATTCATGAACATAGCATCGGAGATATTGTTCGAGGATGCGATTAGTTACGTCGGTTTGCCCGTCCATTTGAAGATGATATGCTGAGCTCATAGTCAACTCGGTACCCTCCATTTTGAAAAATTCCTTCGAAAAACTACTCATGAATATTCGATCCCTATCCGACACAATGGACCGGGGCATCCCATGCAACTTCATTACATACTCAATAAATAACTTAGCTATGGATTTAGCCGTATATGGATGAGTAATAGGAATAAAATGTGCATGCTTGGTAAGACGATCCATGACCACCATGATCCCGTTGAACCCATTAGGCATTGGAAGTCCTTCGATGAAGTCCATTGTTATGTCCTCCCAAATTCTTGGTAAAGGTTGTAAAAGCCC